TGTCGGAATCCAAAAATGACTAAAATAACCTTCGAAGCTGGATCTCGATTCTCGAGAAAGGAGCACGTCGCGATTTTTTTCGAGAATCGAGACAGAGCAAAGCAATCTAGAGAAGCGAGCGAATCGATTAGGGCATTAAAAACTCAAGGCTATCTGTCTCTCGATGCACATCTATACGAGCGAATCTAGAAAGAGAAAAGCAATTAAGGATGTAAGTGAAGGAAACGAGCCGATATCATACAAAGTGATAAGGCTTAAATTATTCAATCATCGTTCAAGGTAACAATGGCGTCTAAGAAAGGTGAAATGGAAGACAATAGTTTTATGGAGACGCAATCTGATGATATGCCTCTGACAATGCCTAAAGGACTCGTAAGCTCTGAAAATTATAATTTAAAGTTGATTAACATGATAAATTTGATATTTATGCAGATTCAATAGTATAATGTCATGAATTTTTTGAATTTAATTGAAGGCATGCATTCTGTTATAATGGATTGAATTCGATATTTACGAGATTTCAATTGTGCATGTTTACAATATCGACTATTAATATCTATATGATTTTATTAATGCCTATTCGAGTTGTGCATGTCTACATTTTTTATTGAGATATAAGTTTTCAGGGCTTATGAGAAGCATATAATCAAGCAGAATGGGCTTTAAACAATTCAATTGTGGTTGTGTGTAATGAGGATAATATATACTAATCTCTACAGGGTGTATTATAAAAGATGAGATTAGGTGTTCAGTTGGCATATTAATGTCCTGTTAGGCATTTGAATAAATATAACGATATTTGTTAATATAGAAATAAGTTTTTAGGGCCAAGGAATGTTAGTGGGATATGTACAGTTCAATTATGGATGTCTATAATGTGGACAAAGTCTGCTAATGTATATATATTGTTTTATTAACGATGAGATTGTGTCTTTGGTTGGCAAATGAATGTCCAGTTAGGCATTTAAATGAATAAAATGATATTTTTTATTGAGACATAAGTTTTAAGGGATTATGAGAAGCATATAGTCCAGCAGATGTTACTGTGCTTTAATTTGTACAATTCAATTGTGATTGTGTGTAATGAGGATAATATCTACTAATGTCTACATGATTTATTTGAAATGACGAGACTATGTTTAGTTGGTGTATTAATGTCCTCTTAAGCATTTGAATACAAAAGTATAGAATAATTTCAAATGCAATTTGTGTTTTGTTTGGAAACAAAATGAACAAAATTTTGTTTAATGTGACAAGTTGATAAATGCCTATGTAAGCCGAAACTACTAGATACAAAAAATGAAGCTAAGATAAATTCATACTGCAATGTTGGCAATGGAGTTAAGAAGTTGAAAGAAGTGCTTTTAAAAGAAGAGCTAAAGGAATTTTGAGAGACTATTCTTGGATATTGGTTCGACATTGGATAATTGAATGGCCAACTCCTCATTCTTCTCACACTCAACCATATGGAGTCGATGGACAAAGAAGATGTGAAGATTGCATTTGAGTAACAAGAAAAGTAAAAATAGACAAGCATTAAATGCAGTGAAGTTAGAGCTCTTATGCATGCTAGGGACCTATATAATTGGTAACCAGCCAACTATTAAACTTCAAGGGCTGTATCTCCACTTGGTCAATGATTTATCCAAATTTAATAGCAACCCATGGGGAGAAGATGTGTGGAAAGATCTCGTAGAGAGTGTTCAAAAATGTGGTGATATTATGAATACAAGCAAGAAACCAAGATTCATTCTCCCTGGATTCCATTTCGCTTTACAGATATGTGCGTATGAAATATTATCAGTATTGATACTAGAGAAGGAATATGTAGTGCACAAAGAAAGGAAGACATTATTGCCAAGGGCATTAAGATGGACAACGGACGAGAGAACCACCAAAGTGTTATTGGAGAAGAAAATATTCAAAAATGAAAAGGTAAAACTTAAAATCATAAAGAGAGAAGATTTGGATACTGTTTTGTATCTAATATTGTATTTATTTTATTATCAAAACTAAATTTCCATTGAATTATAATATGACATTCATTTGATTTGTACTTTGAGTGGATAGAGATGAAGGGAGTAAAATCTGATCAAGAAAAAGTCATTCTAAAAAAAGTCGGGAATCTTTACGGATACTAAAGATGACAATGCCAGAAAAAGCTGTGGTGAGGTGAAGGTGGGGATGCTTTACATGCTACGGCAAACCCCAGAAAAAGGAAAAGGCTCGAGCAATGCTCAAAATACAATGAAGCCCAGAAAACAAAAATGAATCCAAAAAAGACATCAAAAATACTTAGTCCTCAAATAATTTTGGAGAAGAATACTGCCAGAGATGAGAAATGGAAGAATAAAACATTGAACAAAATAAAATCGTTGGATCCTCCTCATCTAACTATCTCATATGCCAATTTCGTTCACAAATAATTGCAGCCTTTGTAGCACGAATAAACTTCCATGTAACAACATTTGTAGAATCACAGAATGACGTCTTAATGTTACCAAGAATGTGATACATACAATGCCCATGCATAACATTTGGGAAAACAGACTCCACAACACTTAAAATGCCATCATGATGGTCAGAGACAATATACTTCACTTCTTGAGCTACAAGGACCTCTTTAACCTTTTTATAGAACCACTTCCAATTTGTAATGTCTTCAGCATCACAAATGGCAAAGGCCAATGGAAATATTTGTTTGTTCCCATCTTGAGCCACATCTGTTAGCAACGTACCTTTATAATATGATTTCATGAATGACACATCAATAACCAAAACTGGAATGTAGTGAGCTCATCAATCTTTCCAAGCACGTAGAGACATGAAGAAATACTTAAAGAACCCATTATCAGATGTGCTAAGTTCAATGGTGGAACCTGGATTTGAATTTTTAGCATATAACACATAGACGGCAGCATTGCATATGACTCTTCATCTAATCAAAACTTAATTTCAAAACCTTTTCTTTTGCAAACCATGTTTTGTTATAACTCATAAAAAATCCATGGTCCCCACACATGTCAGACATTATGGACTTCGAAGGATATGGCTTCTGTGTCGCATCATTGGGTTGGTGCTTGATAAGGTTTTCGACAATAGAAGAAGTAGTATGTCTAATAACATCAACAGAACATTGATGTTCAAAGTTATACATGGGAGGAAACACTTGTGTTGGATAATGTCATCAAATTTCAGAAATAAGAAGGAAATGAAGACGATTTGTCAATTTTGAAAACAAAAGTAAATGAAAGATGATTGACTACAAAATAGGTGCATTGTAGTGTAAATACTTACAGAGATGATTGACTACAAAATAGGTGCATTGTTGTCCAGATTCAGCCATTAATGAAACAGTGTTTAGATGATTGACAAATGCAATGTCCCCAATAAGGATTGAGTTATTGTCATGTGAAATCAAATGCATTCTGTTTGGAGGCAAAATAGGATTTGATGTCACGTTAAGCACATTTGGAAGAAATTGAACACATAAGGGCAACACGATAGCATCTCTGTAAAAGAATTTCAGTTGCAAGTAAAATTGAAAACTGGAATCATCATCAATAACAATAAGGGGAGGGAAAGATGACAACAAATACGAAAACCGAAAATGTATTGCGCACAATCATCACCAACCACTACACGAACTGCGTCCATTAGGTCTGCGAACAAATTTTCAGAATGGATGAACAACTCATAATTACGTTTACAATGAAAGGATGAATCATTGCTCCATTGACCATCAATATTCAACATGTATGATACGAAGGAAAATCCTGTTGAGCAGACATTGAATTAGCCGGTTTGAGAGATGGAAGAAGAATTGTCGATCATCATTCTGATTTGAAGAACGACGAAGAAGATGACTTAAGCTAAAAGGGAGCACACAGTGCAAAAACAAAGTCTGAGAAGCAGATAAAATTTAGACGTGGACAACAGATGGTAAAAAAGGAAGATCAAGTCAATACCAACGTTATTGAAACCGGACCGGACCGGCCGGTCCAACCAATTGGACCGCGAACCGAACATCAATCCGGTCCGGTTCAACGTCAAAACCCGCACATGCTTTGACCCGTTCAAAACCGGAAGAACCGGCGAACCGGATGATCCAGATCGGCCCAGCCGCCGGTTCCCAGTTTTAACCAAAATGCCTTAATTTGATTAGAAGTTCCCGTCGCAGGATTCGAACCCTGGCCACCAGGTCAACAGAGCTCTTGACCAAACGAGCTACTACAGCTTTTGCTAACTATGCCATGCAATGTGGTATATAACTATATATTAGATTCTTAAACTATTTAGGGAGTAATTTTAAAAAAAAATTCAAATTAGTTAAAAAAGACCTATGTTTATATAATATAGTTATATTGTTGATTTTTAAAGTAGTTCAAACTTAAATATAATTAGTATTATTTATTTTTTAACTTAAAAAACTATAAATAATCTATACTTAATGTATTATCTTTTATCTTTAAATTATTAATTATAATTTAATATGTTGCTTTTTTATATTTTCAATCATTTTAATCACCTAAAATATAAATTTTACTCTCAAAAATGTAACTAGTAAATAAGAATTTATTATCTTTTGTTTGTTTTTAAAAAAATATAAGTATTACGTTATAATTTAAGTATGTGTCAGACATTAACTATTAATTTTTAATAATAATAAAATTAATAGAAAAAAATAGAAATTGTGAAATAATATATACACAATGATATTAGAACTAGATGGAGAAGTAAAAACACAAGCTAAATTCCTTTTTAACTAAAAATATCTAACGGTATAATATAAAATATTAGCATTTTAATTATAGTTTGACCGAGTTGTTGGCCCGAGTTGACCCCGGTTTAACCGGTTAACCCTTGACCCAGTGCTTTGTCCAAGCCGACGTCCGGTCCGGTTTTCAGAACATTGGTCAATACTAGTACGGAGTACCATTTATGAAAAAAAGTGGTATCATAATAGGAAATACACCAAGTTTTAGTACCATCTATGGCACAAATTTGAGGATTGGTAGACCAAAGGGTGGTCACACTTTACTCAACGCCGAAGTAATTTATTTGTCAGAAAAATACGTTCCCTTGAGCTAAATCCTCTCCTTCATTCGCGTCAATGGCTGACGCCGGCCGCACATCGACCGTCGACACCAACAAGCTGGTGGCCATGTGCCTGGCACGCGCCGGCGTTGACCGGATGTTCGGCGTGGTTGGGATTCCCGTCACTTCCTTAGCCAACCAGGCGGTTGCTCTCGGTATCCGGTTCATCGCCTTCCACAACGAGCAGTCCGCCGGCTATGCCGCCTCCGCTTACGGCTACCTCACCGGCCGACCCGGGATTCTTCTCACCGTATCCGGACCTGGATGCGTCCACGGCCTCGCCGGCCTCTCCAACGCGTCCGTCAATACCTGGCCGCTGGTCATGATTTCCGGCTCCTGCGATCAGAGAGATTTCGGCCGCGGCGACTTCCAAGAGCTTGACCAAATTGAAGCCGTCAAACCCTTCTCCAAATTCTCTGCTAAAGCCACTGATATCACCAGAGTCCCTGGTTGTGTTTTCGATGTTCTGGATTGGGCTGTAGCAGGTCGACCCGGCGGGTGTTACTTAGATCTTCCCTCTGATGTGCTCCACCAGAGCATTAGCGAGTCCGAGGCTCAGAGACTGATTCCTGAAGCTGAGATTTCACGGAACAACAGGGAGGCTCTGATTGAAAAGCCAATCCTTAAGGATTCTGAGGTTGGAAAGGCAGTGGCATTGTTGAGACAAGCTGAGAGGCCATTGATTGTGTTTGGAAAGGGGGCTGCCATGTCCAGGGCAGAGTTTGCTTTGAAAACCTTGGTGGAGAGCACAGGGATCCCATTCTTGCCCACTCCCATGGGAAAGGGTTTATTGCCCGACAATCATGAGCTGGCAGCCACAGCTGCAAGGTCTCTGGCGATTGGAAAATGCGACGTGGCATTGGTGGTTGGTGCCCGGCTCAACTGGTTGTTGCATTTTGGGGAGCCCCCAAAATGGTCAAAGGAAGTTAAATTCATATTGGTTGATGTATCAAAGGATGAGATCGAGCTGAGAAAGCCGTGGCTGGGGTTAGTTGGAGATGCCACTAAGGTTGTGGAAATGATAAACAAGGAGATTAAAGATGATCCCTTTTGTTTGGGCAAAACTCACCCTTGGATTGAGGCATTGTCTCAGAAAACTAAGGAAAATGTGGCGAAGATGGAGGCACAACTAGCGAAAGATGTTGTTCCGTTTAATTTCATGACTCCAATGAGGATTATTAGAGATGCGATCTTGGGATTGGGTAGTCCTGCACCAATATTGGTGTCCGAAGGAGCGAATACAATGGACGTTGGGAGATCAGTGTTGGTACAGACTGAGCCGAGGACCCGTTTGGATGCAGGGACTTGGGGAACAATGGGGGTTGGTCTTGGATATTGCATTGCTGCTGCAGTGGCCTCTCCCGATAGGCTTGTTGTAGCTGTTGAAGGGGACTCTGGATTTGGGTTCAGTGCTATGGAAGTTGAGGTAGTATGTTTTATTTGTTTCGATATTATTCTTTATCGCATCTCCTAGGTTTTGTCATGAATATTAGACTATCTTACAATTTGACCAATATGAATATAGTCACACCTAGCATTGCTGTAGGTTCTTAAGGGTATGTTTGGATGAAGGGTTTTGGAGGGGAAGGGTTTGAAGGGCTTAGTGTATATCTTGAAAAATGAAATGTTTCTAAAAGCAGGGAAAATGTGATTGTGGTAGTGTATAATCACATATTATGTTACTCATTTGGTTTGTATAAATTATAATAGTATAAATATTTATCAAGATATAGACTTAGCTACTTTTTTCTTTGCTTTCCGTATATCCGGAGCGTTATATGTCAATGATGTGTACTTAATTATTCATCTACAACAACAACAACCCAGTTGACTTAATTATTCATCTATTAGTCCAAAAACAAATTACTCGTCTTTTAGTGTTTAGCACGCTTTGAATAAATCTTATTACCCAACTCTAAAAAGGGAATTTCCTCTTTAACTTTTTGTGTCTCTCATACGACTTTACTTATGGGTAAAATAAACTGTGGACGTGCAGACATTGGTTCGGTATCAGCTGCCGTCCGGTAGTGGTTATAGTCTTCAACAACGGCGGTGTATATGGTGGGGACCGAAGGAACCCAGAAGAGATAAGTGGACCCTACAAGGAGGATCCAGCGCCCACTTCTTTTGTCCCTGGTGCTGCATATCATGTCCTAATTGAAGCCTTTGGGGGAAAGGGGTACCTTGTTGGAACCCCAGATGAGCTCAGATCAGCACTTTCTGAATCATTCTCTGCTAGGAAACCCTCTGTTATCAATGTCACGATAGATCCCTATGCCGGTTCTGAAAGTGGGAGATTGCAACACAAGAACTGAGTTATTATTGAGGGCATCCCATTTCAGGTCCATTTACAATTTGCTTGGAAAGATTGTCTTTTTTTCTGTTTAAAACTTTGCCGATTAATGTTGTAAAAAAAAAAATTGGGCTAGGCTGCGGCCACGATTGTCACCTAGGCCACCTCCAGTTTAGAGGGAGTCTACTTTCTACTCTTATTTTAACAACGAATAATACGACCAGAAGACATGGTTTTTTCCCTGTACTCTTAAGAATTTTCAAGTTATTAGTTGATTTAGCCATTTGGAATAGAGATACAGAGTACATGTTTTCTATTGTAAATATGTCCCATTTGTTTCCAGGGGGAAAAACTTAGAAAATGCTATCTGTCTCTTTCCCTTGTCACATTAAAACATTAAAATCAGTTGTTCTAAACTCACATAATGTCTCTGTATTGTAATGCATTCACATGAGTAGGGCTGGACGCGGTTTGGATATAATTCTGAAATCGGGGATTCGGGTTCTCATGGGGCAGAATCTTAATCAGAACTGAGTAGGGATGATTTTGAGTGTCTTCGATTTCGGAATGACTTTTTTTTTTCTTCAAAAAAGGTGTAACTTATTTGGGTATCAATATTGTGAATCAACTTTTAACCAAATTGACTAGAATCCTTCTCGACAGATTGGGACCAGTTCGGGTTTCCGTCCAATTCTGGTTTCACTTCAAGTTGTGAACCAAAGCTTTATCCAACCCTATCCATGAGTCTCTGCATTGTCAATAGAAATGAAGAATATAACCAAGATGGAATAGAAAAAATGGAATCAAAATGAAATGTCCTCCCTCGGTTCTTTAATAATGTCCACTTTTGTAGTATTTGTACTATGAGGCTGGGTCTCTCTACTAATACCTATTGGCTCATTGGTAATAAACAATTTTTAATTTATAAGTTTCTTATAAATTAAATATTTTTTCGTGGAAATAAAATGACTTAAATGAGAGATAAGTCATTTGAGAATACTTTGAAATGTTGACAGATAACTTTGTAAATAATCTGGTCAAATGTAGAAACGAAAAACTGGCTTAATAAGAAATAAGTACTACCTCCGTCCCATTTTAAATTGTCTGTTTGCCTTTTTTCTCCGTCCCAAAATTAGTTTCCTGTTAGTTATTTTTGTAAACTTTTAAGAATAAAATACCTAAACTACCTCTAAAATAAGTCAGTCTTCTCCACCTTATCTTCTCATTCATCGTCATCCCTCCTAAAAATTATTGACAATTTCAAAAAATCAACTCTATTTTTTCTTTTCATTAAATATGTCCAAAAGTCAAAACATGCGATTTAAAACGGGACGGAGGGAGTAAGAGTTACTTTTTTTTTGGTTTATAAGCAGCTTATATGCACCGAAAAATATGTCATCATTTGACTTATAAATTAAAAATGACTTATAAATAGGTTTGATTGACTTTTACTGTTTCTATATTAGTCATGTTTTAAAAAAGAGCCATGCTAGGGGTACACCAAATGTGTACCCCATTTGTCCCCCACCCCCTTCTCCACCATTCATTTTTATCTACTTTTTATTTATTTAATTTTTTTTAAAGTTTTTGCCCATTTTTGTGGTAATGGAGGGGGTGGGGGACAAATGGGGTCCACCTTTGGTGTACCCCTAGCATTTTTCTTTAAAAAAGAGCCATGCTAGGGGTACACCAAATGTGTACCCCATTTGTCCCCCACCCCCTTCTCCACCATTCATTTTTATCTACTTTTTATTTATTTAATTTTTTTTAAAGTTTTTGCCCATTTTTGTGGTAATGGAGGGGGTGGGGGACAAATGGGGTACACCAAAGGTGTACCCCTAGCATTTTTCTTTAAAAAAGAGCCATGCTAGGGGTACACCAAATAAATGTGTACCCCATTTGTCCCCCACCCCCTTCTCCACCATTCATTTTTATCTACTTTTTATTTATTTAATTTAAAATCATACTTCTTCACTTTCCAATCATATACTCCGTATGTTTTAAACTTTTACAAGTTTTTCTTAAATTAAGAGCATCTCCAGCAGATAGTGGAAAAAATGATAATGTAAATCTTACTTTACACTATCAACAGTGTTTACACCTCCACTTTTTTATACTCACTCCAACCATATCTTCTATATAATACTTTTTTATGATATTTTAATATTTATCCATAGTTTAATTTGTAATCTACAAAAAAATAATTTCAAATTTCCACCTCTACAAACCTAATTTGTAGTTGAAGATCAAAAATGAAATTGTACTTGGCGACATAGGAACCAAAAAACACAACCTTATCCTTTGAAATTGCAGATCCCTATTTGCAAAAACAAAAAAAAAGTCTTTCAAAAGAAAGGAGTAGAAAAGGTGAAGATATAGACATCCCATTGCAAGGAAGAAGAAGATACCCAAGAAAAAATAATTCAATTCATACATATGGCAATCCCAACAAATAAATTTATGCAGACATCTTGTGCAAAGAAGAGGAACAACGAAGAAGATAGATTTGGGGATGGGAAAAAGGAGAGAATAGAAGCAGACGGAGGAACCATATTTCCACTATTCTACCTACAGTAAGGTGTATATTTGGCAGATGAGAAATGGAAAATACACTACATTCTATTTATTACACTACCCGTTGGAGGCCTAAACTTTGCACAGTAAATGCTAAACCTTCTACTTTTTACACATTGCTCATTTTTACACTCCCTGTTGGAATTGCTCTTAGTGAAGAAAATTTGGTGAACAAGCGGTGATTTTAATTTAAAAACGGAGGATCTATAAAAAAAAATGAAATGTCTATTTCAAAGCACTTTTGCCATATGACAGAATTAGTATCATGCCACTAGACCGCATTGTCTTTTGCCATGTTAAAATTTATTAAAGGATTGAAGGAGTATTATATTTTACCGGAGTAGTTCTCTATTACTACTTTCGTTAGGGTCGTGCAGTGTAAATGCGGAAAATCATCAAGGATCTAATGAAAACAACTGTGTTTGCCTTTTGTTTTTTTAAAAAAATCCTAATTCTTGTTGTTTTATGGAGTACCTTATTTGATTTTGTTAAAATTAACCTAATCAAATTAGTTTAGCCTCCATCTGTTCCACAGAGGTTCACACTTCTCCTTTTCATTTTAAGAATATCAAAGTTTATTTCTCCCTTTTCTAAATAAACTCTAACGTCTCACTTTTTACATTTTAATATTTTTCTTGAATCTTGTGAAACTGTGGATTGTTTGTATAATGGATGAAATATTCTACAAGTTAAATAGCAAGTTAAATATTCTACTATTTGAAAAAAATTCTGCATAATAGGAAAGAATTTGAAGGCATGGACATTAAAGGTAAATATGAAGTGCAGAAAGGCTATGAGTGGCTGTTGGGCGACCATGAAAATGTACAATGGACCTCGATTGTTTGGAATAAGCTCACTATTCCTAAACATCAATTCCTACAATGGCTGGGTTGGAAAGACAGGATACTCACTAAAACTAGGTTGGCCAGATACATGAACATTACTACTGATTGTGTTCTATGTTCTGATCATGTAGAGGATAGGGTGCACTTATTCTACAAATGCCAGTACGCTAGAGAATTGCATAGTGAAGTTAGAAGGTGGCTTCAAATTAGCTGGTCTGCCAACAATGATATGGAGCTACAGAAGGCTATTCAATGCATCAATGGAAGGAAAAACAGACAATTGGCCATTGCAGGATTTGCTGGAGTCTGTTATGCTGTTTGGAGGGCAAGGAACTGGAAGGTTATGAAACAAGAGGAGGTGACAGTATCTGATTCATACCATTGGCTCAAGAGCCTAATGAAGATATATATTAATCATAAGCTAAAAGTAGTACATCTCATTTAGTTTCTCATTTAGTTGTCTGTTGTTATTCCATACTTGAGTGGACTGACATGTAATTTGGAACTGGTTGTGGTGTTTAATAGTATGAGCTTTGTTCAAAAAAAATAGCAATTACAATGGTTAATTTTTTTACCTCGTACGTCCCAAGATTAGCCATGGCGTATGGAGTACAAAATGGAGTTGTTAACCTCTTTCATTGGAATTCTAGACTTCAAAAAAGAATGCGTAGTATGTTTTTCCAATGACCTGAATTCATCTTCCTATTTACTATGTTTGGTTAACCCAAAAACATCATAATAATACCTTTATAAGGAATGTTTATACTACTGTGATAAAATGTTATTTTCACCATCGACTATCAAACATAAACTATTAAGACACCATGTCTTGTGCAATAAGAGTAACATTTTACAACCAAAATGTTTACAGTCTTAAGATACACAACGTTTTTCCATGCGAAGACCAAACAATGAAATGCACCGTTTGTATCCGTTGCCAATAAAGGTAAAAGAGTCATTTTCAAATATTTTAGATTCGAATAAATAATAACCACACAATAGACTAAATAAAAGTAACGCGTTTAGAAAAAAAACCCCAATACGAATGAGAAGGGCATGGACAAAAAAAATCTAAGTACCAAAAACATACGTGGATCAGCCTATAAAAGGTCTTTGATCTCAACCCGGAGACTGAATGAGTAATACCCAACCCTTGATACGTGTTGATTAACCCGTTTCCAACATACCTTTCCAAGACTAGTAGAGATAACAAGACTGTCCACGCCTGCCCAAAATGAGCTCGAAAAACTCCACCACAGGGACAGAAATGTGACATAGAGTTTAAATTAGCCCTTTCTGTTCCATTTCTGTTACAGAATATGGTCTTCATTTCCACCAAGGGGGTTCTTCCCAATAAGATTCACATCGGAATGGATTAACCAATTTCATCTATATTCAATTCATGAGTGATACAGCACAAATTCGAATAACAGTAGATTGACTATGATGCAATTTGCTAAACGAGTTAAATTGGTATTAGATGTAATATGTGAACCGGTTCGTAGCAAGAAGTGAAACAAAACAAATGGGAGAATGCCTGTGAAATTTACAAGCTATTGTTGACAAGAGAACCGGCAATACACTAATCTGAATTTACATTTCTAAACCTCGCATCCTCAATTCATTGGGGAACGAGGAGGTCAAAGGAAATGAACTATATCAGGCATGCCATAAGAATGTAGGGTGCTCAAAAAGAACAATTGGTAAGGATGATGACTACACCAGAACAGAGACCCCTACTAATTCTAATTCAACCTTCAGCTCACTCGGTTCTAATCAGGTGTTATGAAAGCGGGACCTATATGATCAACAGCCCTGTGTGGCTAAAACAGTAAATGTCAGAGGGAAGGCGACGAGAAAAGGCCTTTTATTATTAGTCAACGTATAATGTTGGGATTATTCCTCATTTGCAGTGACAATGCTCGACTTATCAACAGTGCGCACATTGTACTGTTTGTAAACTCTACCACGGTTCTCTGCCCACCACTGTTCAGCCTGTTTCTCACTAAACCGCTTCCGGCTGCATTGAAACAGTTGCCACAAGATGTTAATTTCATTTCATACATAAAATTGGGGGCAGCTTCCCAGGATAATGCAGAATGGTAAAAATCATACACTCCCCCTGGTCCCACATAGATAGGCTTGTGTATTAGAGTTGTACTCCCTCCGTCCCCCTGTTTTTGTCCACTTTCATTTTTACACACCATCCAACGCACTTCTTTAATCTATTTTATCTTGTAATTTGTATATTAAAAAATTATAGAAATTATATATTAATAATCTATATGTTAAGACAAATCAAACAAGATGACACATGACTATATTTAGGCTTACACATTGAGAGAATTTGATGAGTCAAAGTGCTTAGATGAACAGTTCCAAAAGTCAAAAGTCGAGAAAGTGCTTAGATGAACGGAGGGAGTATGTAATTGCACGGAAATTAAGAATACGGTTGTTTAGTTAGAGAAATTAAATTTTACATGCAATTTCCATTGTTACCCTATTCTTGAATTAATTAATAGGGTAAAATGGACTGTCTTTGTGAAATAGGGCTGGAATCAGAGGATATAATATATGGTGGGAGTTAAGATACCTGAACCGGACACGTTTAAGATCATTCGTGCCACATGACAAGGAAGTAAGTGTAATATATACACCAGGCTCATCTTGCTCAACCCACTCATTCTCCTTTCTGGTATCACTCTCCTTCTTCCTGTTCCCATTTCTTGCCATTGCATCAGAATTCATTTGACCAATGTTCCAATTACCGGCAACGTTTGATCCATTAGAAAGTGAATGGCTTCTAGTTCCATATGACTCTAAATCTTGAGAAGATAATTGGTCATAGTCATTGTCAATACACAGTTTTGAAACATCATTAAAGCCAGGAACTAAGCCAGAGGAAGCAGTAGGAGATTCCATATTTTGGACCACTCCAACCGGCAGTCTTTCAGCCATGTCCTTAAGCTACACCAAATGTCAACAACAAAACATTTTTTTAGTAACAACAATGAGAATAAATAAAAACAAATTTAAATATTCAGGCAGGTGGAAGTAATATTAGGGAAAAGTATGTAATCATGCATCCCTTATGGTTGTTCACATGTACTATACACAATTGTAACGGCTATATCAGGGAATAAATCAGGAAATCCATTACTCCAAGGATCTGAGAGGTATGATAATTATGTAAATCCAGAAGAATAAGGAATAATCAAGAAAATATTGCAAATGATATGGCTGATTGATCAGCTCATATATGTGGTTGAGTGATTTTATGTCAAATTGATCCTACTACCTTCTTTAGCTTATCTATTTTTGGAGGTTATGTTTTAATTTGATCATTTCTTTGTCGCGCATGTCTAAATGGTGTAGTTCCTATCATAAAATTGAACCAAGTCATTATGTTTCCACGGTATGTATGCAGCTGTTACGGTGGAGTAATGAATGACAATGTGCATGACTGACTTGGCAGCTTGAGGGTGTTTTTGGTGAACAAAAGAGATATGACTTATGCCAGATATCATAATCCTTTTTTGGTGTTTGGTGAAGCCAAAAGAGATCAAATTTAATATCTCCAAATATCACAAATCCTCCAAATGGAGGGTTTCAATCTCTTAAATTTGGGAGATATCAATATGAGGGTTAGATATCTCCCAAAACCGTTAATCATTCCCCACCATCGCCTACCATTGTCACCACCAATCATCCCCTTGTATCACTAATTAAATTATGATTTTAAATCTCTCAAAACAACTTCATTTCAGATTTCAGAACCCATATCATTTCTCCCTGACTCACCAAATAGGCCCTAAATGTAAATGGATAGAGAGCAATAGAGTTGGAGAGAGTTTTCTTTATCCTTAATTAACATTTCTAATCTTAATTCTTCATCGTCCATTAGGCAAAAAAAGACCCTGCCTAATAATAAAGATGACAGCATACATGAATGCCCAATGAGGAAAAGAAGAAATCACTAAGGGGGTGTTTGTTTTTTCTGCAGGAAAAGGTCTGCGGACCACTACTGTAGACATCTGCAGGAGAAGTGGTGGACTGACTGCGGTCTGCAAGAAGAAGACTGTTTGTTTTTTTAATGTCTGTAGACTGCTATATAAATTAATGGTGGTAGTGTACGGTGGTGGTGTATGGACGATTGTGGTGGTGGTGGAGGGTGGTGGTGGACGTTGACGGCGGTGG